TTTGCTTTTTTGAAATTTCTTCAACAATCCAACTTTGAGGTATTCTCTCACCCTCTCTATTTCATGATCTCGTGGGCTATCTGTTGGATCTTCTGTGAAAGGTTCAACTACTTCCTTCAGTGGAGGCAGAAATTCATTGTCAGCTCTTTTCTTACCCTTTTCTCTTTTCCTCCTCTTTACTGAATGCTCAGATAGAGTGTACTTCACTGGTGACCTAGCAAAACGCTTTTGTTTGGGAAGATCCTCCTGTGACATTATAATGACACAAGATCACATAAATTACACAAGATGACAGTTTGTATAAAACAAAATGACATTAACTTTGAAATATGTCATTTATCGATTAACAAAATGACATCACAATGTTGACATGCCATTTTGGCCAAACAAAAGTAATTAGACAGACTAAACAAATTGGACAAACTTTTAATACTTATAAGAATAGTACAAAATATCTCTACAAAATAACGTGTATTAATACACTCAATGTCATAGTACAAAATAATAATAAAAATATAGGCACTATAATCGATTTTAAACTATTTTATCATTCAAATCAAGACAATATTGCATAAAATGTCTTCAGAATCATAAAAATCATATACAGCATGGTAATATGTACTACTGAAGTCATTAATTTGTCAATTTCACAACTTCACATAAATTGTGATAATACTTGAAATGTCGATATTCATTCAAAATGCCACTTGAATGCCATTTTATGGAGTTTATTGTGGTTACCCAATTAGGCTTCACTATGATTACTCTACATGGATTGGAAGAATAGCTCTCAAAAGTCCTTTTTGCCTCTTCAGATTCAGCACTTCTGCACATCTCCTGGATAAACAGACTATTGTCTTGTGACCCCATCCCCCAACCAGATTCAGCACTTTTCTCCATCTCATTATCTTGAGACTAACTCAATATGTTAAACGTAGGCATGTCACAAACTACCTCTTCCTTGTTCTTCTCTACCTCCTCAATGTTCTTCTCTTCTTCATGAAAACCACCAACATCCTCAATCTCTTCTTTAGCACCCTCAGTCTCTGCATTAGCATCCTCATTCTCTAGATTTACATGCCCAGTCTCTACAGCACCAGTATCTTCCTCTACACCAGCATCCCCATTTTCTTCACCTCCATCCTCAGTTTGTACAAGACCATCCTCAGCCTCTGCACCAATGTACCCAGTCTTGCACATGCATGTCAGCAATAGCATCATCCTCTAAATCTTGCCCAGTCATGTCAAACACAACATCATCTTCTTTTTCATTAACATTTTGTTCTCATCCTAAACTTTCATTCTTTTCAACTTCCTTTGTTCTTGCTCCTGTATCCTCATTTTTGCCTTTATAACTGCCTTGTGACATTTGTTTGACAAGAAGTATAACTTCTTTTAAAAGATATTTCTGCTTTTTCTGAGTTTCTTAATGTTTTTCATTTCTGCCACTAGTCTGTCAGTCTCCTTTGCTTATTTCTTCATGCTTTTTTGCATATTGTTACTATGTTTGCTCATGAACATAACATACTTCTCTCCTTTTCTTCCAATATCACGTGAATCATCTTCTTCATCTTCACTCTCACTGTCTTCATCACTCTCACTGTCTTCAGTTTCTGATTCCATCCTAGCCTGCTTTCTTCTTTTAGAAGTTCCCTCACCAAATTTAATTGTTTTACATTTTCTCTTCCCAACTTTTCCTATTTTCCCTTTGATACTTCTGATCTGCATTGCCTTTTGTTTTCCTTTTTCTGCAATACCTTTCATCTTTTGAGCATCTACTCTCCCAACATTTGGAATGACAATGTCCATTCCATTGTCACTTCTTTCATTGATTCCTTGAATCATGGCAATCTCTTCTTCTGTTGGTACAATCTGTACCCATTCAAAGTTTCAAACTAAACAAATACACTCTGTTAGTAAAAAATTGTGCACATAATCATCTAGATATATTTAGACTATTAAAAGTAATACCTTGTCATTCTCGAATATTATTTCGGAAAGCACCTCCAGTGTAGGTTTTTCTTTTGAAATCCCACTTCACTGTCCTGGGTAACATGTGTTCTCTGTCCTTTATTAGCTTGCAGAAACCAGCCTTTGCAAGCCCTGGGAATGTCACAAATGCCCACCATTGGAAAGCCACCATGTACCCAGGGAATGTGACTATGTCCCCTTTGCCTTTATCTAATGCCACAAAACTTTGCTTTATTTTGTCAACCAACTCCTTCCAAACATCATCACCCCATGGGTAAGCATTGAATGCATCCAAATCGTTTACCAGGTTTATGTAATATGCTTTCATAGGCCTGGAAGTTTGATTCCCAAACAAACAATGGGACAAAATATGTAGTAGAGCCAGCTTCACTCCATCATTTGTCATTCTTCTCTCATCTGTGCTCTCATAACTCTTCAATGCATTTTGGACATCTGCACGGGACACAATAGCCTTGCTCCCAAAATATTTTCTCCATATATCTCCCTCGGGCTCTTCTGAAATATTTGGCTTCATACTTCCAAGCTTTAAACCACACATTGTTGCCAGATCAGGCTTTTGAAAACTGATTACACTGTTTTGAATATGAAATCTGATGACATAGTTTCCAACAAATCCTAGTAGTACGACAAATATGGTTAGACTGAAATCAATCAATTCCTCAGTGCTTAGACTTGTCCTTATTCTGTTAAGAACTTCAGCAACATTGCAGTAGCAATTGACACGCAAGTTTTCCAACTTGACTATCACTGACTTCTTAAAAGCTGTTGTTATTGTCTGTCACGTTCACACAAATATAGGCATTATAATCAATTTGTAAACTAGTTTACCATTCAATTCAAGACACTCTTACTTAAAATGTCATGACATCCATAAATTACATGGTAATACTAACTACTGAACTCATTAATTTGTCAGTTTCATATTTTTTTTTTGCATTTTGTTGTTTTATAACAACATAGCACACCAAAAAAGGTAACGCACCCCTCCCCCGCCACGAATATCTTCTTCATCTAAAGGAAAATCAATTTTCAAATATGCATTTGGCAATCTTATGAAAAAAAGTAAATCAACTCCAGTTAATGAACAAAGCTCGATCAACGAGCTTTCTTTGTATCTAACATTTCCCGTTGAGTATGAAGAAGGGGATGACTTTGACGTTCTTAAGTGGTGGAAGGAAAAAGAGAGAACGTTCCCGATCTTATCAAAGATGGCTAAGCAAGTGCTAGCAATGCCGGTATCAATAGTTGCTGTGGAACAAGAGTTTAGTGCGGCCGGCAACGTCCTAACGGATTATAGAACGAGATTGAGCGCAAACTCTCTTGAGACGTTTGTTTGCTTCCACGATTGGTTGAAGGCCAAACGTAGAACTCAAGAAATTAGCATTAAACCCACCCGCCACTTTATGGAAGAAACAACCGAAAATGGCGGAAATTCCGATTGATTCTTATTTATTATAAAGTGTATTTCATTTTTTAATTTTTACTCAATTTTCAATTGTACTACATATTTCAAATAAATATATTTTAACTTTTTTATGTCCAAGTAATCTTAATTTAATATTTAAACCAAAAAAAAATAGCCCGGGCCCGGCCCGAACCGCCCCCCTACCCGGCCGGGTAGGCCCGACCTGGACCGGACCCGGTATCACCCCGGGCCGGTTCCAGGCCCATGTTTCTAAAAAAGCCCGCCCGGGCCCGACCCAGAACCAGAACCGGCCCGGCCCGGGTCCATCCCTACTTGAGATAGAGCCGAATCACGTTGAATTTTGGGTTCAGATTCACAACCTACCCCTTAGCTTTATGAATGAGAGAGTGGTGAATTGAATCGGATTGGGAGATATTTAGGGAAACTGATACGGATTAACGAAAGAACTCTAAATGGTGATAATAAGAACACTGGTAATGGAAGAGGGTGACATCTGGTTTTGGGCATACTTTAAATATGAGAGAATCCTAAACATTTGTTTCATTTGTGGAGTTCTGGGCCACACTGACAATTATTGTCCATCAAACACTAACGCGGGTCCATGGATGGCCTAAAAGTCTTATGGCCCTTAGATGTAGGCTGATTTGCGGCGGGGGGGGGGGGGGGGGGGGGGGCTCATTCGGGGAATAAGTGGTAAATCCCGCGTGTAGGGCGTGAGATGAAGAGCATCCGGGAAGACAGCGACAGTCAGGGGCATCTGATAGGAATTCAAGAGCAGACTCCAAAGGTGGGATGTTATCTGGTTCAGGGACTGATCTCCAAAGGGAAAGGTTAAATGGGAGAGGAAGAAGAACACAACAATGATGGGATCCTAGATGAAGGGGAGTCTAGAAAGTGCAGTGCAGTGGTCCAAAAAATAACTCATCGGTGATACTAATGAATCAGCACCGTTGGGACTTCATTAGATTGTTTGAGCATTTTAATCCCTTTGGAGGTGGTTGTACAAACAAACCTCTCCCCCCTTACCCAATGACCAGTGAAATCGGAATGACTCCTTTAGAGGTGGTTGGACCACCCTCTTCTCCCTTTCCGATGGCGGGTGAAATCAGACTGAATTCTTTGGAGGTGGTTGATCAAACATTTTCTCCCTTACTGGTGGCTGGGAAACCAGCAATTATGATTCTATTTGTTATTTTCCTTTTAATAACTCTAGTTTTTATCCATTTATTTGAGTATTATGAACAACGATGCTGATTGATTAGTCTACTAGATTATGGGGTTAGCGAACTTGACGGTCCTCAGGAACTAGTCAGTTCTATGTCTCATCCCAGGGTAGCTCTCAGCCACTGGATTGGTTTGTCTCTTGTCATTTCCACTATTAATATTAATTAAGTGTCTTTTTCCACAAAAAATTAACAATTCAAATTTAATAAATTTTTGATATATAATAATGTAAAAGATTAAGAGTGATTTATGTTGACTAAGTGAATAGGAAGCATGTCTTACAAATTGGGATTGAGGGAGTAATAAAAAAGAAGATATACATTGAATTGAAAAGGTAAAACTAGAGAAGGTAAAAAACTGAATTGAAAATTTGAAATTGATAAAATTTCAAATCAAGTGATTAACAATTCAATCAATCCAGCACTTCATCCAAACAAGATTAAGCTACATGTGATGCCTGAAGTAATTGCTTAGATTAAATTTGAAGTAAAGATGAACTCAAATGTTTTGAAATTGTATGTATCAACGTACATACGATTGAAATATGTAAGATGGGGGCGAGGAGTACGTAGTAGGAAGTATTTAGGAAGGCAATTCATTAAAGTCCCATACATACCTAAATTAAAGATGACTAATAAAACCACAACAAAAGTTGCATGAAAAGTAAAATGGTATATGCCCAAGTAGCTACTGCATATTTATAACGCGCCGCCGACCCAGATTTTGTTACTGTTGCCGTCCACTTCCACCCTAGTATTTCTCACAAAATCATGCCCTTTACCATACCAGAAGTAATTGTTGTACTTCACCCTAGTGATTAAATCCACCCGGAAAACTGCATGATTGGAAGCAGTCGCCGACACAACCTCCCCATGAGTATAAGCAATCCCTTCTTTACTACGTTTCTTGTACCAGCCGGGCAGGATAAAACCAGCAAGTGTGGCGTTACCTATGGGAGAACTGCCATAGAAGAAGTTGAACTGAAGATCGCCGAACTTAACATTGGTAAACATCATCTTGTTCTTGAACTCTGCAGTGAAGTGAAGTGTTTGATTCAAAAGGTTAATCTGAGAAGACCCATTATTATAATTATCGTATGTTTTGTTGAGTGCTGGTAGGTAGAACTTTGTAATGGAGAAAGAAGGCATAATAATGATGAAGGATTGTAGCACGAGCACAATTGCAACGATGTCTACAAGGAGTATATGCATAATCATGCAGCACCAATGCTCATTTCCACTTCGCTCCCGCATGTTGGAAGATCTGAGACTGGACATTATTTTCTAATGTTATTGAAAAGCAAGTTTCATATAATCAACTTATCATGAATATATGACATAATTAGGAAGACAGAATTATTAAGAGATTGATGCATATGTGATGTATGACGTTACACGTGTGTTTTGTATAAATAGAGAGACTTGACAAGGTGCAGAAAGTCAAGTTTGGTATAAGATCACAAATGCCGTTATTCGTTATTGAGTGCAGATATTCGATCACTTGGCTATTTTTTGTGTGGTCATTTCACCACATTTTGAGTTGAATCAACACCACTATTATTCTTGGATGAATTAATATAATTAATGGGTTGAATAAAAAAATATTGCTTGATATTGGAATGCTATTAACTTCGAAGCTTCAATTCAATGCTTTAATTTAATACTCCCTCCGTCCCTAAATGTTTGTCACTTATTGACTTTTTCAGTCAAACTTGTTAAACTTTGACCACTAATTACTCAAAATTAATTATATTTTATTCGAAAAAAAATATCTAATGTGATTCTTTGTAATATGTATTATTCAAATGTCAATTTATTATAGATTATATAGGTATATATTAATAGATAATTACGGTCAAACGTCTACCTAGAAGACCGCAAAAGTCAAAGAGTGACAAACATTTAGGGACGGAGGGAGTATAAAATTGTGTCAAATTTAGATTTTTCGTATTCAAAATTTATTTGTCTGCTCGACTATGCTCACATTTTATTTCAACAACCCTGACACACATAATATTGTTCAATCCAGACAATACTATTGACAACTCTTTAAAATGAGAACTTTTAATCTTAACCATTCATTTAAGGCATTCACTGGTCAATATTCGCATGGGTCATATTCATAATTATCCTAAATTCAAGTGACACTCTTTTACAATTACCTCTAAATAATTACAACAATGTCACTTTGTCATTATTAGCCATTACTGATCTTGAAGTCAAAATTATAACAACAGAAAAATGCAAAAGTAAAAAAGAAAAAATTAGAGGAAAAAGCTAACCGACAAAAATATTAAAGTCAAAGTTAATAATAAAGTTTTACTACCTCCGTAACGCTAGAATCTTCCCGGTTTGACTTTTTTGGGTCAAACTTTATGAACTTTGACCATTATTTATTCAAAACTCACATTATGTTATGATTAAAAATTTATTTTATATAACTCATTGTAAAACATATTATTTGAATGTTAATTTATTATGAATTTTATAAATATAGATATGTAGATATTTGCAGTCAAAGTTCAACTTAGAAGACCGTGAAAAGTCAAAATGGGAAGATCTTTATGTTACGGAGGGAGTAACTAATATACCCCATGGCTCCGGGCCAGGCTGGGAGTAGTTCATCACTTCATAGGTGATGTGTACTTGTTTAAAAATATTCTATTAGTACACAAAATCTACACACTCCCTAGTTGTTTTTACACAAGTAGTTCATTTCGAAAATACATCAATTATTTGTGTACACAAGCGAATGTAGAAAATGTACACAGAATATGTACACCCCTAGTTGGTCGTGTACACATATAGCTCGTTTAGAAAAAAGAGAACAATTATCTGTGTAGACAAGATAGTGTGGCCAATATTAACACCTTTTGTGCACACCAAGAATGGTTGAAATTTAGAATATTATATCAATGTACTTTAAATAATCATTCTGTTTTTTGTTGCACTCATTTTGAAATTTTCTAGTAACATTATACTTATCGGGTATAACATCAAATTTATTTCAATAATTCGTGCACTATAATATTTTAAGTGTAATGCACGTACTTTAATTTTCCACCTCACAACATTTAAACTCTTATTTCATTAATGGAAGTTATTGCGATAACCTTGGAATTCTAATTTTTCAAATCTAACCCCTTGTATTTACATTTTTTAATAAATAACCTTGAGAGTTAAGATAATTAGTTTGGTAGTACCGACTTTTGTTTATTCTGAGTAGGCCTGGTTTGGATTTCTATAGTATTTGTGATAGGTAGTGTTTTAGTTCCGGTGGTTTTAGGCTTAAAATTGATTGTTTTGTGTCTAGCGAATCAGATTGTTTAGTATGAGGTGATCGATTCTATGTCTATGTTTAGGGATTACGACCGGGTGTGTCATAATTGTCTAGAATTTGTCTTGTATAAGTTCTCGTTATTAATATAAAAAATCACTCTTTTATATTAAAAAAAATAGTATTCCACTCTCATGTACAATACATGAAGGTTTGTATTGAATAGCTTTCTTCCCCAACGATAATGTTGATGAAGCAGACACGAAGGTCTTCTGGTCCAGATTTGTTTGTCAGCAATGTGGTGGGTGAGGATGAATTACTAAAGGGAGAAGGTGCACATTAGCCAATGGGGTGTACATCAAGAAGCATATTAGATCAAAATGTCAAAATTTAAACTTTTGAGGACATGTTGCCACCCACTCTGGATGCGAGTAACTCCCTCATATGCTTCCATCGGGCTAGTATTATTATTTATATATTAAAATGAGAAGATCGTTGAAGAGGACTTTGGGCGGGAAGTGTCAAATTATTTGTCCTAAATGGATGATCACTTCACAGTAATAAAGGCAATGCAATTCATTTTTTGATCTATCCTGATTTGATCCGTTGGTATGGTCTTATAGATATATGTTGGGAAAACTCTATATTATTATACTACGCACGTAGTATATATATTAATTATGTATTTTCTAACAACAATATAATTATGAATGAGGGTTGGTATCCCTAAATTATGTCAATACACTTGGTGCATAAGAAGTTGTACATTGTTATTAAAAGATGGAACCCTATTTTTTCCATTAGCTGCTCTACCCTTACGGTCATGTAATTGTGTGACTTCCGTTAAGCCTTGATTTACTTCATTACAAATCTGATCGATTCATTACAAATCTGATCGATAGCACACAAAACGAAGGAATCACAAATTGTATTTTCCCATGATCTATCGATCTCATCTAGCATGAGGTCTATACTTATTTTATTTTTTGGCTGCTCCTCTTCATTTTTTTAATTTCTTCTATTATTCTTTTTCCTTTTTTGATGTGAACATCTTATTGTATAATATAAGGAGTATTATGAGTAATGATGTACCCCTGTCCAAAATCTTTTACGATTTCATGAATATTGTACTTTCTTATTTTTTCTTGTACTCAAATTTTTTTTGGAAAAGATATATTGTTACGATTGCGGATTATGAGCCCATTGATCACCATGATTTTTTGCTTTTCAGGCTTATCAGCCAACTTTTTCACTAAACACGCGACTTTTGATTACAGGCGCTGAATTGCGTAATAATAATAAAAAGTGAGGTTCGAGTTACTTTTCTGGCTGTAATGACTTAAGTTATTGTAGATGACCATTTAGCTATTTTTTCATATAACTTTTTCTTTATTTTATTATTATTATTAATAAAATGTATTTTAATTTTTTTAACAAATCAACCAGAACTTCATATATTTTAGTAGAATCAGCTGATACAGCTGATTTGAGTGTTACCAAACGGGCCCTATATATTCATTATAAGAATTTTTTTACCTGTGAACTAACATACACAACCATATGCATTTGGATGATATTTACATCAATATTCTTAATGTATTTCTAAAATATTGATTTTTTGGATGAACCACACATAATCACATATTTTCCACAAAATATTCGATTGACATGGAATAAAATTATTCGGACAATTCTTAAAATATTCTTCCTCCGTTCTTTTTTAGTTGCAACGTTCCCCTTTTCACGTTTGCCAACACACAACTTTGACCATTATTATATTTAATTTTGTATTATTTAAAAATAATTAAAAATCAGATTATGAAATTTAGTAGTGAGACGAATTCAACAATTTTTTTCAAAAAAAAAAAATCACACACAATATTAAATAAAATATAGTCAAAGTAGAGTACATTAATAGTGTATAAATTCTAATGTTGCAACAAATGCGATACAGAGGATAATATGTGATATATGATATGTAAAATTTTATTAACTATTTACAAAACTCTCCTAACAATTTTGTATATAACACTCTTTTGTACAAAAGACAACATTATTTTTATATTGGGCAAACACTCTCGCGCCTTGCGCGAGTATCGCTAGTTATATAAATAAATCTGAATAGTTGGAGAGAACTTTGGGCGGCAAGTGTCAAAATTATTATATGCCTAAATGGATGATCAGTTCACAGTAATAAAGACAATGCAATTAATGAATGTCTCTCGTAATTCCAACTAGTTGCATTAAGACCAATATGATGCTAACTTTCCCTCTTCTAGATACACTTTCTAGTATGAGCTGCTGCTCTCGCAAGACGAACAATGACTAAGAAAAAACAGTCATGTTACTTATGCAAAAACAATGCATCAAAGTTTTGAAGGTGTGTATTTTTGAAGGGAAAAAAAATACAGAGCGTCTCTCAATCATAGTTCCACGAGCCTTGCGTTGTAATCGTGTTATACACATTTTATAAACAATGATGTTGGAACGTATTATTTTGTTGATGACAAACAACTAGTGTTACATGTGTTGTATTGCAGGAAAAGAATTTAAGTTGTGCTCTGGAGCAAGCCGTAGACCCGGGCCTATAACTGTCATGCGAATGCAAGATTGAATAATTTGGCTTACTTAAAATATATTTTATCTCCATCCAATTTCGATTTTGTGTTGCTAAATTAAAGATTTTTTTTTTGCAATAAGGAAATAATTAGTGATCATACAAAGAAAAGATTTTTTGTTAAAGGAAATTTATTTAAATCAAAGACATTAATTAAGAGATCTTTCTACAAAACAATGTTCCAAAATAAAAGGTGTTATTAAAAATTCAAATTGGATTTACGTGCATGTAACACCCCAATTTTATGAGCTAGTTATATTAATCATTTTTAATTATTTTAGTTAGCTAAATAAGCTTCTTCTATGCATAATGTGATTTATTGTTTGATCATGTTTTGTTCTGGCAGGTAGCGTTGACCGGTAAGCTCTAAAAATGTTAAATGAAGAAATAAGTAATGTTTTAAAGATTAATCAGTTTATTTTGAAAAG